CTCTGGTGTTCACTCTTCCAGGTGCCAGTGGATCCAAGTCTCAGATGGTTGTTCCTTGTGGTGGAGTGGGGCCAAAGTTCCAGTCAAGGCAGAGGTTACTTGGTGTTCCTGGGGATTGCTTGGCACTCCCAGAGGTTGATCTGCAATCCTAGAGGTTGGTCTTGCCTGCTCCCATAGAGGTTGCTTGTTTGGGCCTGCTTCAGCAGAGGTCACTGACTCGGGCCTGGTCCCATGGAGGTAGTTGGTTTGGGCTTGCTTCCACGGAGGTCACTGACTTGGGCCTGGTCTGACAAAGGCCACTGGCTTGGGCCTGCTCTGGCAGAGGTCGCTGGCCTGGGCCTGGTCCCACAAAGTTGCTGCCTTGGGCCTGGTCTTGTGAAGGTTGCTCACTCAGCCCTGCTCCCATGGAGGTTGCTGCCACAGGTCCGTTCCCACAGAGGTTGCTGGCTCAGGCCTGTTCCCTCAGAGGTCACTCCCTCATACCTGCTTTGGTGGAGGTCACTGGCTTGTGCCTGGTCCCATGGAGGTCATTGCTTTGGGCCTGCTTCTATGGGTGTCCCTGTCTCAGACATGTTCCTGCAGAGGCTGCTGCCCTGGGCTGCTAGGGACTTTTTAGACATAAAATTTTCAATGTTAGAACTAGGATATTCTAAGAATGATGTTCCTGGGTTACCATGACTGACTTTGTGAGAATGGACCAGCCACTCTGCCTTTCTTATCTTTGATAACCTTTCCCCACTTAAAGGTTACCATTGATAGTCAGTTAAAGATGACGTCATTTGACTATCAGTGTGGTAGCCAGGAATAAAAATGTGCATGTATGGAATCCAACCCCACTCATACATGTATTGATTCCCCAAATACACCTTTTAATAGTTCTATTCTCTTTAGGGGCTATTTTCTTTCAAACCACTATATTCCACTCCCTGGCTCCCAAAGGCTTATAGCCATATCATAATACAAAAAATGCATTCAATTCAACTTCAAAAGTCCCTATAGTCTATAACAGCCTTATACTTGTTTCAAAGTCCAAAGTCTCTTCTGAGACACGTGACAATCTCTTAGCTATAATCCCCTTGTAAAAATAAGAATTAAAAAACCAATGTATAACAACATAGGAGATACATTACCTTTCCAAAATACAGGGATGGGAGGATAGCGAGAAAATACTGGACCAAAGCAAGACCAAACACCAGCTGGGCTAACTCTAAACTCTGCAGCTCCATGTCTGATGTCAAAGTGCTCATCAGATCTCCAGCTCCTTTCATCTTTGTTGACTGCAAACACACTTCTTCCTCTTGGACTGGTTCCACCTTTGTTAACAGCTCTCCTTAGCAGGTACCCCATGATTCTGGCATCTCTAACTCCTTAGGCTTTCCAAGGCAATCCAGGCTTCAACTTCATAGCATCATACAATGGCCTCTCCAGGCCTCCATTCAGGGACACCCCTGATATATGCCTGACTTTATATGCTTTAGGTGTGGAGATAAATTCCATAACCCATTTCCTCTATCCTTAATTCTCAAGCCAGAACCACTTGACTGAAGCTGCAAAGTTCTTCTGCTTGCTAGGGGCTGGATCATGTCCTCCTCATCAGATTAAACCTTTACCAGTTTTCTGTCCCTCACCGCCTAAGCTTGGCTGTCCTGAAACTTGCTATGTAGACTAGGCTGGCCTCAGACATAGATATCTGCTAACCTCTGCCTTCCCCGTGCTTGGATTAAAGGTGTGCTCCACCATCCCCAGCTCTAAGTTTTTCTTTAGTTTCTTTCCACAAGATGGAAACTTATCTGGGTGGGATCTTGTCCTGAGATCACCACTCCCTTTAACCCATTCCTTAATCCATTTATCTCTTTGAACCCAGAATTTAGCTCTATTCCATTTTTTGGTGTTCCCTTTTCCCTCAAATTTTTCATTTTGTATTTTATTCTGCTCAGCTTGCTCCTTTTCTTTATAAATCTTCATTAGAGTTACCACTAAAAACCACATGACAACATCTATACTAGGTTGTTTTCAGATTTCCTCTGCCAAGAGAATTTATCTAAAACTCTTCACTTTAGCCCCCAGAAGACTCTTTGGACAAGGGCAAAAGGCAGTTACTTTCCTCCAAATATTGTGATATTTCCACCAAAATATAACAAGGACAATCTCTAAGCAACATACTAAAATTCTTCTCTGAAATCTATCGAGTGAACACCCCAGAGTTCAATTCACAGTCAGCACCACTGTCTTCTATGCTCCTACTAGCATGGTCCATTAAGCAGCACTTGAAGCATTCCACTGCTTTCATAAGTGAGAGTACCAAACTCCAAATTCCTCCAAACAAAAGCATGGTCAGGCCCATCACAACAACACCCCAGTCCCTGGTTCCAATTTTTATATTAGGGCTTTTTCAATGGTTTGAAGAGACACCATGACCATAGCAACTCTTAGAAAGAAAACATTTTATTGGGGTGTACTTACAGTTCAGATGTTTAGTTGACTATCATCATGGTGGGACAGGGTGATGTGTAGGCAGGTGTAGTGTTGGAGCTGAGAGTGTTACGTCTTGCAGGCAACAGGAAGTTAGCTGACTTACTCACTGTGGAAAGTTTGAGCAAAAGAGACCTCAAAGCCTGTCCCCACAGTGATACACTTTCTCCAACAAGGCCACACCTCCTAACAGTGCCACTCTCTTTGGCTGTCATTTTCTTTCAAACCACCACACTCTGCGTAGAGGTCCAGAGAGGTCATTGCATGAAACTGTGAAAGTGAAGTCTAAATTGTTTTGGAGATCCCAAGATGTTGGTGACGCCAGAACCATGGGATACCTGCCAAGGAGAGCTGCTAACTGGGAGTGGAACCAGCCCAAGAGAGAGAAGCATGTTGCAGTCAATAAAGCTGAAGAGAGTTGCATATCTGAAGAGTGTTTGACATCAGGCATAGAGATACAGTTTGGAGTTTGCTCAGCTGGTTTTCGGTCCTGTTTGGTCCAGTATTTCCTCACTGTGTTCCCTTCTCTACAATTTGGAATGATAATGTATGTCCTGTGCCATTATATGTTGGAAATATGTGATCTGATCTTTAACTTTGTTTTTATAAAGGATTACAGCTAAGAGATTGCATGAGTCATGAGGTGGTGGTGCACTTTAATCTCATCACTTGGGAGGCAGAGGCAGGAGGGTCTTTGTGAGTTTGAGGTGAGCCTGGTCTACAAAGCAAGTTCCAGAATAGCCAGTACTGTTATACAGAGAAACCTTGTCTTGAAAAACATAAAAAAAGAAGAAAAAAAAAGAAAAGAAAAATAAAGAGAGAATGATAAAAAGATTGCATGAATCTCAGAAAAGCCCTGGAACTCTGTACACTTAAATACATTTAAATATATTTGAGACTGTTATAGACTGGGAACTTTTGAAGTTGGACTAAAAGCATTTTTGAATTATGATATGGCTGCAAGCCTTTGGGGGTCAGGGAGTGGAGTGTGGTGTTTTGAAAGAAAATGTCCCCCATAGGGAGTAGCACTATTAGAAGGTTTGGTTGGAGTAGGTGTGGCCTTGTTGGAGGAAATGTGTCACTGTGGGGATGGGATTTGAGGTCTTCTATATCTATGCTTGGTGACACAGTTTCTTTCCTGTGTCCTGCAGGATTAAGATGCAGAATTCCCAGTCCCTTCTCCAGCACCATGTCTACCTGCATGCTCTCATGTCCCACCTTGATGATAATGCTAAACCACTGAAACTATAAGCCACCCCAATTAAATGTTTTCCTTTATAAGAGTTGCTGTCATCACTGTGTCTCTTCACAGTGATAGGAACCTTAGCTCCATCTGCAGGAAGAATGTGGCAAATGTCGTAATAAAGACATTGCCAAGTTCTTTAGCAGTTCAGAGGTGTTAGGTTTTCAGTTTTTTTTTTTTTTTTTTTTTTAGTTCCTAAGCAGGGAATGTTTATGTTGAGTGTTAGGAAGAGTAGGCATTGATAAGCAGGAACTGTAGGAGACACAGTGCTGGGCATGCAAGCTGCTGAAGACATAACCCATGCCCTCAAGTCACTTAATTCCAAGTGTGAGCCTGTGGTAGTTTGAATGAAAATGGCCCCATAGGTTCACAGGGAGTGGCACTATTAGGAGGTGTGGCTTTGATGGAGTACACGTGGCCTTGTAGGAGGAAATATGCCAGGTCCATTGTCACTTTCTCCTACTACCTGCTGATCTGGACATAGAACTCTTGCCTCTTTCTTCAGCACCATGTCTACGGGCATCTGTCATACTCCTTGCCACGATGATAATGGACTAAACCTCAGAACTGTAAGCCAGCCCCAACGAAATGTTTTCCTTTGTAAGAGTTTCTGAGGTCATAATGTCTTTTCATGGTAATAAAATCCTAACCAGAGCCTGAACAGTGCACATCAGTGCTGTGGGAGTTCAAGGAGAGCAGAGATTATTATAATGTGTGGGAGGGAAGATGTAATGGCAGGGAATGTTGGATAAGATGGTTTCAAAATTTAGTTACATTTATTACTTATGTGTGTATGCCTGTGGTGGTCAAAGGACAATGGTCAAAACTCGCCAAAGTCAGCTCTCTGCTTCTACTGTATGGGTCCTGGGGATGAAACTCAGGGTGTCAGACTTAGTGGCAAGCACCTTTTCCCACTGAGCCAAACTGCAGGCTGTATTAGTAAGTCAGCACTGTAACAGAATGCTTGGCCAGGATGAATTTATTTTGAGTCCAAAGGGTTCGTTCAGCTCTTGGCTCCATATCCTTCAGCCAAGCATTATGGCAGGGGAGTGTGTGGTTTCATGGAACATTTTCATTGCATGGTAAAATTCTAGTACGCAGAGGGTAAGAGAGACATGAGGGGCTACATGCAATCAAATGACTTCAAAGTCACACCCCCAATGAATTCCTTCTTCCCTAAGTTTCCAGTATCTGTTAAAGTATAATCTGAGGGTTACGTAGTCAACACATGAGCCGTGTTTAAACACAACAGAGTTTCAGTCAGTGTAGGCAAACAGTTGGGATATAGTCTTTGACTGAGCAGAAGGTTGGAAGTCAGGAGTCTGCCATATTTCTGTCTCAGGAGGAGTCTGGGACAGAGCATGTGTGTCTGGGAGTGTGGGAACAGTGGGGCTAAGAGGATTGCCTAGATGACTGAGCTCAGGAGCTCGGATGGGAGCTTGGCTTCAAAATCCAGAGCCAGCTGGAAAGTCTAGCAGCTTTCTTGGGTGCCTGGGATGACAGCCTGAAAGAATTGATTCACGGTTTCTTCCATCAGCACGAATTGGACGAAGGAGGCCAATCTTGAGAATTCTTTACCAATCCCAGGTGAGTGTTTGTATGTGGCTGGGCTGACGCAGAGGTAGGAGATCTGGCAGACATTGGGAGTGCGCTTCTGACAGCCAATCTGGTGACAAATCGCGCAAAGCAGATGAAAGAAGAGGCGATTTACTTATCTTTAAAGTGGGAGTCTTGCACACAGCATTCCTTTCCCTTCTGGAAATTCATAACTTCCAGGTTTCTCGACTTAGCGGCTGGGAAAATTGCCAGCACCTTCCTTCTTTCTCCTTTCACATCCCGTTCCAGAGAGTGGGAGGAAGCGAGGGTGGCGACTGGTCTCTGGAAGACGTTTTTACTTTGGTGGGGAGGCTGGGCATTTGGACATGTCACGACACAGTCATCTGACAGTGGCCACTACTACAGAGTTAAGAGAAAGCTGAAGGAATCCAGCTTCGCCTGGAAAGGTGGAGACAAGTCAACGGACATCTCATGTCAATCACAGCCACAATGGGGGCGGGGCGAAGGTCCCATGGAAGGACTCTAGGCAGGAGAGATGCAAGCGATCTGCCAGGACTAGCCTGATGGAAGCCAGGTAGTCTGAGGGCGAGGGATGGGGAGAAAGGGAATGTGGTGGAGATGTGGAAGGAGAGTTAGGCTGTGCTGATGTCGGAGGACCTTCTTGTAAAGGAATTTGGCTCCTGATATAAGATACGCACGTGATGCTGGAGCTGTAGCAGCCATCTTGTGACTAAGAGAGAAGGTTGTTTAAGAGGCTAAAGTGACTGAACAGAAAGGGGTAAGCAATCTGGGCTCTCAATGACCCACTCAGGTGACCAGCCGTGGAATTCTTGTTTTCTTTGTAATAAGCGCCACCGTTGTTTAAACTGAAAGTGTCTTACATGAAATGGACTCACCAGAATCCCTCAGCAAATGAGGACATCAGTACAGCAAGATACAAGTCTTACTGTGCCTTTCCTTTCTGTCCACCCCACTCCTTTCATCCCCTGTGCATCCCTTGCAAGTGTCAGCAAATTGCAAATGAGCTTAAAAATGTGGGGGGGGGGCTCAGAATAGTGATACTTATTGTCTTAGCCCCAGTGGCCAGCAAAGTAAAATACTCTATAAAATAGTGTCCTTCTGGCTCCTAAAGTCTACCTCTTCCAAATTTGGGCTCAGCTTTCACCCACCCTTCCTAAGAACCCATTCAGCAATGTCTCTCACCTGCACTGAAGTAGTCATACCCAACTCCTGCCCAGGGCCTCCAACACTCATTGTGGTCACGGCTCCCCCAGGAGCCAATCAACCTTACCTCCTAGTCACAAACCAGATCATTCACTACACCTCTTAAACATCACCCGTATTTTATAACAGGAGCCACATCCTAGCCAAATTCCTTTACAAGAAGATTCTCCTACATCAGCACAGCCTAACTCTGTTTCCACATCTCTACCACATCCCCCTTTTCTCTCCATCCCTCGCCCCCAGCCTACCTGGCTTCCAGTCACTCTAGTCCTGGCGGGTCGCTTGCATCTCTCCTACCTAGATCCTTCCATGGGACCTTCTCCCCACCCCCATTGCTGCTGTGATTGACATGAGATGTCCGTTGACTTGTCTCCACCTTTCCAGGCGAGGCTGGATTCCTTCAGCTTTCTCTTGACTCGATATCGGTGGCAGTGAACTCTTTCTTCCTTGTGTGTCTTCCATTCTATTTTTAAACGACCAAGGATCTTGCCCCAGAACCTCCATCAGATTTACCGTGTCTCAGCGGAAGGGAATGGATTGGAGAATCACCCCTGAGCTAGCTACCAATAACGGAAATGGGCAGGCTGGAAGTACTTGAAGCAGAATTTATACATTTTATCCCAGAAGCGAGTAAAATAGCCTGTGAACAGGTAAATGTTTCTCCTGTTTAAAGTTCCTGGGCTTAGGAAAATTATTCCTTAGTGTTTGGAAATGCACTTTTGTGCTTCTGATCTCCAGGTAGGGCTGGAGAAATAGATTTCAAAAAGACTGGAAGAGAGATGGAGTTCCTCTCTTCATCTTCTTCCTGCTTCTTGACCGTGGTGGTTTGAATGATAAATGTCCCCCATAGTCTCAGGCATTTGAATGCTTGGTCTTAGGTTGGTGGCACTGTTTGCATATGTTTAGGGGGTGCAGCTTTGTTGGAAGAAGTATGTCACTAGTGCTGGGCACTGAGGTTTCTGTGTCTCACATAGCGTCCTTGGTGCGCCCTCTTGTTTCTTGCTTGTCGTTCAAGTGTGAGTCCCCAGTTTCTGCCCCAGCTGCCCCGTCATCTGCTGACGGTTGCCACACTCCCCTGCTACACTGGACTCTTATCCTCCTGGACCTGGAAGCTGAATAAACCCCTCCTATAACTTGCCTTGGTCAGTTCAACTTATCCCAGCAACAGAAAAGTCAGAAGGTGGAGAGGTGGCCCAGCTGTTAGGCGCACTTGCTGCTCTTGCAGAGAGCCTGAGTTCTGCTCCCAGCACCCACGCTAAGCAGCTCACATGGGGTCCAACATCCTCTTCTGGCCTTCATGGGCACTTGTACATGACAATGCATAGACACAGACACATAAATAAATGAAAATAATCGATAAATCTACAAAAGAGTGAGCTTCACACTGACCCTTTGTTCTGTGTGTCGTGGAGCTTAATTGGTGTTCTCATCAGGACGCTGACGGGCAGTGCACGTTGTTCACGAAAGGAGTTCAGTGAGGTTGAGGACCGAGGAAAGACGATGCGGCTAGGAAGTGGGAGAGCCGCATTCTGTATGCTTGTGTTATCCCCTTGTTTTGGGGAATTTTAAATATGCACGGGAGCAGCCAGAATGGCCTGATGTGCATGCCATCTGCCTCACTCAGCAGCAACCAGCAGAACCTCTGCCAATTTTACACCCCTCTCCCCCGGCCCTGTGCTACCGGGAAGTGTGTTCCCCACAACCGTATCCTTTCAGCAACAAATACGTTTGTGTGAATCCCTATGAAGACTATACAACCCGTTCCTCTGCGTGCTAAGAAAAAAAGTTCACAAAAATATGTCTGCAGAAAAGATGAGGTCTGTTTTCTTTTAAAGATACTCACAATGTCAATATGCTTAAAGCGGTTACCAATGCTCTGTTAATATTATTGAATGTGCAGCTAGTACTTGATTTTCTAATTATCTCATCCACATCTTACTTTTATCAGTTTATTAAATTAAAGTCCACGGAAGCTCCACATAGTGCAGATTGGTTGTTACGATGTAATTCTCGCTGGATCTGTAAGCTTTCTTCATTTCTTTTTCCTCTTCACGGTTAACCATTCGTAGAGAAGTTCTTCCACCCATAGCGTCTCTAGTCTAGCATTTGCTGATTGCATCTCAGTGGCAGAGCAGGAAGTGTCCCTTGGCCTCCACATCTTCTGTGGGCTGCAGTTGGAGGGCGGGGCAGAGACCATGTGAACTCTTGCTAAGGTTTCCTTGGTGGTGAGTGGTGGGTTCTGCCACTGTGAGTTTTCCCTTTCTCTTGCCATGGAATCGTCCTTGAAGCTCAATGTCTGGATCCTTTAATTCCCTGGGGGGGGGGCACACAATGACTACTTTTAGATCACATTACTCCCCTTTCCAAGGAGTTGCTAGAAGAGCTGACATTTCAATAATCATCTTACTCAAGAAGGTGTCGCTGCCAGAGATGAGGAGTACAGAGGTTGTTCTGATCCCTTGGAGCCACACAGTAGCGAGTCACAATACACAGTTTGGATGGGGATGAGCTTGTGGACCATTTTAACCAATCACAGTCATCTCATTGTGGTCAGAAAACAGACTGATGGGAACATCTACACATGCAAGGTTTTTGAGTCTTCAGGTGAGATGGCTGTTGGGGGGCAGTGAGAGTGCCCATGGGAATGCTTTTGTTTTAGCTGGAGTGTAAGAGGGAAAACCGAAGTGTGTGCAGAAGAGGAAGGTTTGAATCAATGAGTGTGTTGGTTTGGTTTTTGTTAACTTCGCACAAGGGACCTCAGTTGAGAAAATACCTCCATCTAATTGACCTACAGACAATGTCTGGGACATTCTTTTATTGGTGCCTGGTGAGGAAGCACTAAACCCCCTGTGGATGGTGTCACCATTGGAAAAGGGATCTTGGGAACTGTAAGAAAACAAATTGAATAGACCATGGGAGTAAGTTAGTAACCAGTCTTTCTTGCTTCAGTTCCAGCTTCTAGGTTCCTGCCTTGAATTCCTGCCCTGAGTTTTCTTTATGATAGACTGTAAACTGCAAGTTGAAATAAACCCTTTCTCTCCAACTTGCTTGTGGTTGCGGTGTTTATTACACCAACAGAAGTGGAGTCTTGACAATGCATTGAACAGCAACATGAATGCAAACACTCTAGAAGTGTGGGCTTAGGGAGGAAATGGGTAGCACACAAGGCCTGAGACCAGTGAAACAGGAATCTGCAAAGGAAATGTAAGTGGACATAGCTGGAGCCCACTCTTGCTTTACCTCAGGGTTAAAGCAGTGGCTTCAGAAGGGGGTGAGGCTGGGTGTTGGCGGGAGAGGAGTAGACTTTGGTGCAGGACCTTAGGCTGTTCACGCGGCATGGGAGGACACGTGGCTGGGAGAGCAGCCTGGCCAGGAGCTGGGGAACTCTGGAGGTTGACATCAGAGGGAATGAATGGCAAAACAAGACTGTGATCTGCACGTCTGTGAAAGACTCCTGCGTGCGTAACTTTAATTTGATTTGATTCTTGATTTGTATTGACTGTCAATCTTTACTATTTACTATGTGGTAATTATGTTCTTTAAAGCCACCTAGAATGCTGAAGTAGTGAGCACAGAGCTGTTTGCTTTATGGGATATACAAGGGTAGGTTTCTGTGACCCTCTGGTCATGATTTTGTCAACTCATGGATCCACAGCCTTAATTTTCTACATTTATTGATTAATTGATAGATCAGTTCTCTGTGTGTGTGTCTGGTGCACGTCTGGAAGTCATAGAACACCTTGTAGTAGTCAGTTCTCTCCTTACTTGATATATGTTCCAAGGATCAGGTCATCAGGCTTGGCAGC